CCAGCTCCAAGCTGCCCGGCTCCACGGCCAGGCCAGGGAAGCTGCCGCGGCGGCCACCATCACAAAACTGCAGGAAGACGGGTGCGCGGCTCGAGTTGTGCTGGACCTCCACGCGCAAGATGCCCTCCCGAGGCCACTTGTCCCGCACGTGCTCCAGGCAGTTGATGGGCGAGCGGGAGAACACGATGTGGATGTAGGCCAGGACAAAGAGCACGAACAGGGCCTGTGGGAGGGAGGGCGGTCAGTGCGGGAGCCCCCGGCGCTCGGGGGACCCTCCCGGGCAGGGGCTATGCTGAGCTGGCTCCAGCGGAGGAAGAAGTCCCAGGGACGTGGGCAAGTCCCGTGACGGCCCAGGGAAGCAGGGATGCCCTCTCAGACACTGCAGGACCCTCACCCGGGGACAGGGCACACTGGGCCTGGGCCCACCTGACAGAGGACCCCTCAGAGCACATGGTGACACCGGTGACCGCCCCCGCCTGGAGGCCCGCAGGGCAGCCCCGCGCTCCGCCTTATCCTCAGGGCACCCCTGACCTCACCGGCCGCGCCCTCTGCACCGCTCCTGGGCTGGCAGGGCCAGCTTGTGGGGACGGTACAGCCTCTCCCAGGGCGATCTTGCCCGCGGAGAACACTGGGCAGCGTCTGGGACTGGCTAAGGTGGGGCACTCCTGGCATGGCCGGGTGGGGGAAGGGGGCTGCTCTACCCCCACAGCACCCAGAATGGCCCCCACCACAGAAAACGACCTGCCCCTTGTCGCCAGGGTGAGAGGGGACTCTGCCCCACGGCACCTCACCAGCAGCACCTTTTACCCAGCTTGGAGGAGCGTCAAGAGGGCCACCCCCCTCCCTGAGAGCCCATCTCACTGTCTGACGGCCGAGTTTCTCAGGGGCCTTTGGCCACGGGTCACCGCCAGACTGGGCACTGCGTCTGGGGCTTCACTCCCGTGTATCACCCACTGCCCCCGCCCCCAGGGAAAGGGTCCAGCTGGCCCGATGGGACGCCCAGCGCTGTTCTGGAAAAAGAGGCTGTCCAGGAGCCGGCGAGCCCAGGGGCTGCTCGGCCAAAGACAAGGTGTTTCCTCGGAGGAGCCGGTGCACACTTTACATGCCCGCTACCCGTGGCTACAGGGCCACTGGCAGGGCCACCAGGACCTCGTCCCTCCCACGCTCTCCACGAGCCCTGCACATGCTGCCAGTGCCAGCCACGGACCCCCTGACCTCCCCGCCGGAGCCAGCCCTGCGGACGGGCAGAGGGGCACACACTCCCATCCCCGTCGGGCCACGGGGGCCGTGACCTGAGGGGGCGCAGAGCCAGGGGACGGGAGGAGCCCGGCGTCCGAGCGTGCTGCTACGACCCCGGGCCCAGGTACGCGTGAAGCCGGGAGCCCGCCCAGACTCCTCAGATGTGTTATCTGCGCCACCCCTGTTGGGCCAACGCGGACCGTGCCTCCTTGGCCTGCAGTGCCCCCGGGAGACGGTGACGCGGGCGGCGTTGACACGGATGCAGAGCCCCCGTGTCCAGGTCACCGCAGACAGATGTGGAAGCTATGAGCGGAGCCGGGGCCTCTGCCGGGGGCAGCAGGCCTGAGTCTGCCTAACGTCACACAGACCCTGCTGGGCCACCGCTGCACCCCATGCCCTGGTCTCCCCCTCCCTCCTGCTCTGCCCTCTTCGTTGCTGGGTCCCCGAACCAGGCAGGAGGCGGCACAGAGGTGTGCTCAGGGACTCCCATTCACAGCAAGGACCCTGGCGGCACTCCACACTATCGCACGTCACAACGACCCCGGAGGTCACCTCCGTTTTTCCGAGGGAAAGACCGGCAGAAACACCGAATGCCAGAGCCCTGCTTACCCTCCCAGCATCGCTCAGTGGCTGCACGGTCAGGCTGCCCCAGGTTCAGAGACAGGCTGGGGCACCTAGTGCCGACCGCTCCAGGACTCGGAGGTCCCAGTCTGGCCTCGATGCCAGGGAAACCAGCAGAGGTGGAAGCCAAGGCTGCCGGAACGCGGGCCCGGCCACTGCCTCTCATCCCCCAAAGGCTGGCCCGGTGGGGAATCGGGTGGTCTGGGCTGGCTCCTGGCTGTGAGCCACAGAAAGACGCAGCTCTGAGGAAGTCACCAAGGGACCTCCGTATCTGCAGCCAGAGTGCCGGAAGCTGGGCAGGCAGGAAGTAAAGGCACAGAGCTTTCTGGAACTTGCAGCAGCCGCACAAACCAGCCAGTCCCAGCCCTCACTGAGCAGATGAGGGAAACAAAAGGAACCAGGGGTCGGGCAGATTCGAGAGGTCTGTGGGGCCTCCAGGCTTTGGCCCAGAGATCGCTCGGCCCAGCAGCACGACCCAGAGAGGAGAACTCAGGAGTCAGAACCCCCCGGGACACCTGGCCACCTACTCCAGGGACACCTGGTATGCCGGGCTGTCCCGCTCCCATGTCAGGAAGTGGCGGGACAGAACTGACGCGACCAGGACCTGCTCCGGGAAGGCTGAGCTCCGACTGACCACTTGGGGCAAGCAGCACTTCCTCCCCGCAGGGAAATCACACCCACACACACTCAGGAGCCCAATAAAGGAACCCCGATTCAGGAATCCTCCACAGGGGACCCGTGATGTTCTGGGGGGGGCTCTGGGGAGAGAGGAGGAAGACCGCCTCCTTGTGCCATCAGGCACTCCCAAAGACAAGGGACAGGGGGACTCTGGTG